ACTAAACTATAAAAAACACTTTTTTTTTAAAGGTATCAATTCAGACATATCCTAAGGTTCACTTTTGGTCATACCTCAAGATAATAAGAAACTGATAGGGATGAAATATAAATTTGAAGTGAAACTCGAATGATTTTATCATAAGTCTATCAGATATGCATAGAGAAGTACATACGATGAATCGACAGTTCTTTAATTGAAAAGGAAATTGAATTTCATCACAAGCGTTCAAACTACACGCTCATTTTTCTATCATTGACAATCTGGATTTCTCAGCGTTGGTTGAGTGTGTACGTGAATGTAACGCATTCGAAAAAGAAATTTTCTCACACGGCACATTGCACGAAAGTTGATTTCAAGCTAACATGTATTTTACAAAATTTACAGGGCAGCATAGCTTTATCGGTTCAAAATCAACTTTCTTTATCAGTATCTCGAAACTAAAACTAAGAGTCAAATACTAAAGTCATAATCCCAATACTAACCCTTCACAGCCAGAGTATAAATGGGTGTTGGTGAGGTTTGCAGTCGACTAAAGGGTCAGATCCACATCCATCCAACTAGTGCACACATTGATTTGTCAATACTAAATCAGTGCTGGCCCACGTGTTGTTTCTTCAGGCAATGGTGTGCCATGTTTAAGAATCAATATTGAGTTTTTGTTGCAGGCTAATTTTGCCCTAATATTTTGGAGCATAAATAGATTATGCATGCGCTCAACTTGGAACGCATGCCCATGAAGGGTGTAACCGTTTCTTTGAATAAATCAAGACTGTTAATGTGCATTACTTCTTAAGATATTCTGTAATAAAAACGATTACCTTTTCTTGCATACCGAAAAAAAACCGCGTGTTAATTCTTTTACAAATCCATGGTAAATAGTCTCTCTACATCATGACGTGTTTTCACTTGTGGTGCTCTTTGATTACGGTCATAGTAATCATGTTTCTCCGACTAGCTGCACAATGTATGGTTCCAGCGCTGTCTTGGAAAGGTATTAAACTGTACGACATGAATCTATTCAATTAAGACTATATCTATCGTATGTACTCCAGAGGATGGAAACATACAGTTTTGATGAGCTAAAACAACTTCATGTTTCTGCCGAGCACTCAAGGCAAGTATTACGCCCATGTTGGTCATGCGCACAAATTCAAGTGAGACTATCGAATCCAAGGTGATTCAGCAAATCGTCCTTCTTCTTTCTCCGGATATATTGCACGCGTACATAAGCTTCAGTAGATTATTGTAGAGAATAAATTGGAACCTTGCAATAATCGTACAATCAAGTATTAAAATGACATATGTTCTTTCATGTCATTTTCCTGATTTCAATAACGATAATGTTTCTCTAAAGAAAAGATTAATATGAAGTCAAGCAAACTTGTGTACAACTGACATCAATAAAAAGCTCAGGTACAGACACTTCTCCAAGTATTGGATGATTTACTTCTCTAGTTAAACGCCTTCATGAGAAATAAAGGTTTAGCAACGTTGAAAATCACTCGCAAAGAGGGTGTAGATGAGAATAAATACAAGCAACCATGACCAGTTTTGATCATTGAGTGTGTACATGAGTTTAACTATTCTTTTTACCCACAGCATACACAGATCCATACTCGCACTCTGAAAAGTCGTCCTTCAGTACAGAGTACAAGCAGAGTATAAAGCATATACGCGCTCAATAAGAAATGCAATTCTTTAGTCACAACTTTTTTAGCAACATATTCTATGGATGCAACAAGTTCAAGAAGCATGGATGAAGACTTGGAAGAATTAGATGATACAATATTATACATACAGATTGAATTTTCTAACAAATAAATCCTTATAAGCAAACAAGATCAACTTATTCATGTATAATTGTTGACCAAATAAGGTGTACAAAGAGAAAGAGATAGAAGACGGTAATTGCCAATGAGCATGCTTCGCATGAATCCAATTGGCTCTTTCTTTCGTTTCGCTTTCCATGGATCAATGTTGGAAAATTCGTCTACTACCGAGATCTTCAACCTCCTTTCGTTTTACGTAATTGTATTCTTATATTTAAACTATGCAAAGCATTTCTTACGTGTTTTTCTTCATGACACGTCAATATTCAGATAATCCTTATGAACCATCTCGCTATCGAGGAACTCTTCGATCCCATCAACCATCGGATAGTTCATTTCGACGACATATATCTCTAGTATCAAGAAATTTAGCTTCTCAACCTAACTTTCAACCCAATGGACAAAAAAATCATACTATCTCGTCTCCTCGTCCTCCTCGTTATCATGGAGAACACTCTCATTTCAATAAATATCCAAATTCGACAAGATCATCATTTAACCAAATGAATGTAAGGCAAAGATTTTGATTGATGAAACAATGTTCTATGCTTTGTCTATTAGAATGCATCAAATGATCGATCACATAGAAGATATCGAATAGAAGCTCATTCTCCTCATTCGTACGAACGACATAGTCAATCCTATCATGATAATCATCAGTTTTTCTCATTCATCTGATCATCACTATTCTAATAACCGACAACCATCGCTAAACCTTTCTTCAGTTTCCCAGCCATATTATTATAATCAAGATTATCCAAGATACAAAGGAAATTCTGATCAATATGATCGAAGAAATCATCGAATAGAAACTTATCCCTCCCAATCCTATCAGTTGCATTCGTAAATAAAATTTATTTTTCATCGTTGTTGTTAAGTTTGATATTTTCTAGAAATCGTCGGTCGATAGATATATCATCGCCACGTCAACTAGAGTACTGCAACCCGACCCGACCCGACCCGCACCCGAGCCCGACCCGCGGGTGCGGGCGGGTTCGGGTTCAATCTTGTCGGGTGCGGGCGGGCTCGGGTTCAGTCTTATCGGGTCGGGTCGGGTACGGGTCTGTCAGCCGTCGGGTCGGGTCGGGTGTGGGTTTGAAATTAAAAAATGTCGGGTTTTTATCGGGTCAGATTTTTTTGCGTATGTATGCTTCTGCCCTCTATTTTCGTTCGTCTTAAACTCACAGAATAATAAAACTCAATTCTATTGGTCAATGATTCTCAGAGTCTAATGAAATCAGAACGTAATGCTGTTATTAAAAATATACGAATACTTTTAAAAACTCTAGGTATAGATCAACAAGTCGATGAAGAAACAACAGAGACAGGTACCAACAACAATTCCTCAACACATCAAAAACGTATTAAAATAGACACTGTACACGATGTTCTCAAGTCTTTTAATGCATTTGTAGACTCATCATCAGACGATGATGATAAGAGGCCGATGGATAAAGTAGATGATTATATTAAAGCGAAAATATCATACCCAAAAGGAGAATCACTTTTACAACGGTGGCAAAAACACTCTATCATATACAAAAAGTGAGTTTCTTGATTACTATATCATACTCCTTAAATGCACAAGAAAAATTCAATAAATTAATTTAAATTTGATTCTCCTTAGCTTATCATTATTGGCATGTTCTCTCTTAGCAGTACCTGCAGGTTCTGCTGTATCTGAAAGAATATTCAGTAAAACAGGTCGGATTCTTGAAGTTCGACGTCAACAATTATCACCAGAATCACTTGACTCTCTTATTTTTTTATGAAATTTTTCAGTTGTTTTGTATAAATTGAAGATGTATTATTGATATTTGTACGATACTTATTGTTATGATCATTATCGATCTTAACTGTTTGAAATGTATGTATTTGAATGGAAATGTCATCATACTAAGTTGTGATGGTTTTTTTGCAATCATGATTATCTATGTGTTTTTTATTGCTATAAAGCTTCTATCATTTTTTATGCTTAATATTGCAATAAACTGATGTATCTTTATAAAATAAACGAATTTAAATCTCTCGGGTCGGGTCGGGCTCGGGTTGAACCTTGTCGGGTCGGGTCGGGCTCGGGTTGAGCCTTGTCGGGTCGGGTCGGGCACGGGTACGACTAAAAGACCTCGGGTCGGGTGCGGGTTCGAAAAATCAAACCCGCGCAGGACTCTAACGTCAACACGAGAATTCCGTTCGATCTTTTGATCAGCATTCATCTCCCTCACATACGCTTCCAATCCATAGATCTTTAAATCTAACAATCAGGCAGACTCTTTTAAGGATCTATAGTCGATTTATTTGCTCATGATCAACCAAATTCCATTGGTCTATCTGAGAGTAATATCGAACGTTTACCCACGATGCCCTATCGAAAAACAAGTAAATCGCCATATGCTGATGATAGATATGCAATATGTTTAACTGAATATAAAACTGATGAAATAGTAAAACGTTTACGATGTAAACATTTCTTTCATCCTGAATGTATCGGTCCATGGTTAAAAGTATTTGATAAAGAAACTCTTCTTTGCTATTGAACTTGTTTTGTCTTTATCTAGACCTCAACTCAATGTCCAATCTGTCGTGCTGTACAAGCTGATTGATTGAACATGTTCATGCACTTATCGATAATTGGTTGATTGCCGACTATTTTTTTTAATCTTTTCGTTTCTGATCGATTTTAGACGAAAATTATTTTATCCTGGAAACATCGAAAAGTTCTCCCGTGAAATAGTTGATCATAATCGCGAATCAAGTGTTCATCTTGATCTTCTCATCGATGAAGAATACATATATATAAATTCTTCGCCTATGATTTTATTCGATGTTTTATCAGTCGATTGATTCATTGATGAGTTTTACTATTAATTTTATTCGAATAACCATCATGAAGCCAAAAACTGATAACATTCTCTAGCAATCGATTTTTCAAACCAATCAACAGAATATCACAATATGGTAGCCGATGAAAAAGCAAAATAGTGATGATCTATTTTTCGTGAATTGAGTAGAGTTGTGGATGGGGCTGATGTGTGGGTCTGTCGGAGTTGATGTTGAGTATGGGTGTGAGTTGTTATTGATATAGGTCGTTCACTAAGTGATACTAACGTCCATGCTCTCACAACCTCGAGTTTTGGCAATGCCGTACCTTCAGACTCGCTTCTATACTTCATTTACTGAATCGAGCTATTGCAAGTAGTTTCGTCCCGTCTACATCGATATCCAGGATGTGAATGTGAGTGGCTGTGGGCATGGGTATGGGTATGCGGGTGTGGTTAAGGGTCTCATCTTTTTCCACATCCACATCCACCCGCACCCACATCTACACCCTGCGTGAAAGGTGTTAGATCGGCATGAATACATTGTTTTCATGTTAGTGCTTTTAATCAAAAAATACTGACATGATAGAGAGAAAATAATATACTGAAGTTGTGTGTTTTCTCTCTTTTTTTACTATTTGCGTTCGTTTTATTATTGTTATTCTTTCTTTTCTGCGTTTCTTCATATCGATATGTGTTGTTTTTAGTTATGGTGATGACAGCCATACAAATTTAAGTCAATATTTATTCATAATTTTCAATGAGATACTGTGAAACATTGTTCATTAGTAATGTTACTTTCACTTTTTATACTCATGTATCATCATATAAAGTATGAGGCGACTATTGAGTATTAAATTCCAAGACAAAGTGAAAAGTTTTTAAAATATCTCCATATTATGAACAAGATGATTAGATGAATACACTGTTTTGTCAATATTGATCATATGCTGTAAAAACTTAGCATCTATGAAAGATTTGAATTTGAGTTACACCGAAGATGCGAAGAGAAGTTTTTGCCTTGAATTTCGAGCTAAAGTCGGCGTTCGAGCAGAGTCGATATCGTAGTTGTAGTTACATGCAACATGAGAAACAAGTTGTTCTCTTCTTTTAGACAAATAATGAATTCTGTACAAATCTGATGTGTAATGCAAATTGATACATACAATGAAAAAGGTAGTCAGTTGAAAATTTGATCAATCATTTAAGTCTACATATCGAATTCTCGTCGTTATAGTGCTTCATAATGATCCAATTCAACTGTGTAGATTATCAAGATAGTTTTACTGTCTAAAATTCAATGGTATTTATACCTTCCTTCGAAAATGCAAGTAAGACTAATATGCAATGAAGTTTTTGTGCACTTTTCAGCCATATTTTGTCCACGCTGTTTTATAAGCAACAGTCCCTAGCAGAGCTAGTCTTGATAGATGCTGAACATATGGTTGACCATGTTTGTGTTTTTTTTTGTCTCATATGTCTATCAATGTGACGTGCAGCTGGTGTATTGTTTAAAGCATCGAATCTCATTTGTTGCTAACTTTTAATTAATTCTTAAGGTTTCAACGAGCAGTAACTTTATAATTCTCTTTCGCTTTCTACACCCATAAAAGACGATGAAAGAACGAAACAGATAGATGCATACTTCGTATTGTTTACTCGTCACTCTGCCCGTAATTTTTGATTAAAGAAACAAATGTGAGACAATCTGATTCATTACTGCAGCCTAGAGAACAGAAAAAAGTAATACGTCGTTAAGCTTACAAATTCAATCATCGTACAACAATATTTCGTAATCAACTATGTTCCTTCATACACTGCATGATATGTAAGAAAAGAAAACAAGCTTCTAAATTAGTTGAAAAATTTTACCATTGACAGTAGCAAACAAAGATTTGTTGTTTAGAGTATTTTTTTTTGATTCAAACAATAAATTATTATCGTGTTTGCATCGAAAATCTTAGACATGAAAAATCCATCAGTTATTCGAGTGAAACGAGTAACACCTACTTCTGCGATGAAGTCTCTTACCGTAAAACAAGCAAAGCCAAACAATAAAGATGAAGGACCTCCAAGCGAATCTCTTAAATTAAAAGCTATCACAAAATTACCAGCGTCGAAGGTATGTTTATAAATACGCTTTAAAAACATTCTCATCCAAAAAATACTTCCATGGCACAGAAAGCTTTTACCTGACTAATGTGCCCTTATCAATTCGGGCAGAACACTTCTTACGAGAGCGTACATAGGAAGAAGTCTCGAGCACGTTGTTAAGGATCCATTCTTAGCAGAAACACAGTGGAAAACTAAATGTACTTCTTCTTTCGTACTTCCAAAAAATTGTGGAAAAAGTTTGAGTAACCATAATAGTCTTCATGCTCAAAATATTAGTTACGTTCGACCAGTTTGTCAGAACTTGATATATCTTAGGTTGATTTTTCAATTATGTGGGTTTGAAATAAGCGCTATTAGAGCTCCGTATTTTGAATTCCAGAGACAAAATCCGTGGGCTAGATTGAGCCAATAAGTTTTCACGATAGTTAGGCACCATGACTAAACAAGCTTCTGTCCGAAGCAAAAGTCTCACGCATGAAACAATTTTCAGGCGAAAAATCAGCATTTCTTAACTGATTTATTGGTTTGGTGTTGTATGAACTTCGTCCATTTCACAAAGGGTGATTTTATTCTTATCCATGCTGGAGTTTTTCAAAGATAATGTTAGTGTAAAAAGACGAGCAGTTCAAAAGAAATGAACTTCTTCCATTCGCGATAAACAGGAATAGGTAATGATCCTAATCTAGACAGTTTGTTTTTTGAAGACACAAATATTTTCCTAGTTATTCCAGCATTTTTTAAAAAACTGATAAACTTTGTCGATTATCCAGTAGAGAAATACGTGCTGAATCAAAGAATCCAAAAACCATATAACAGACCGTTGAAAATTAACAAACCATCCATCATGCAGTATTTTTTGGACAGTATCATAAATA